ACTCAGTGGAACAGGAAGAGGCAGGGCAGTGTCACAGACTCAGTGGAACAGGAAGAGGTGGAGCATTGTCACAAACTCAGTGGAACAGGAAGAGGCAGGACAGTGTCACAGACTCATTGGAACAGGGAAGAGGTAGGGAAGAACATGGAAGAGGCAGGGCAATGTCAATGGAACAGAGAAGAGGTGGGACAGTGTCACAGACTCAGCAGAACAGGAAAAAGATGGGGCAAGGATACAGACAGAATAGGGAAGATGCAGGGAAGAGTCACAGACCTGCAGAACAGGAAAGAGACAGGACAGTGTCACAAACCTGCAGAACAGGGAAGAGATGGGGCAGTTCAACAGACTCAGTAGAAAGAGGAAAGAGGCGGGGCAGTTCACAGACCTGCAGAACAGGGAAGAGGCTGGGGCAGTGCCACAGATCTGCAAAACAGGGAAGAGGCAGGGCAATGTCACAGACCTGCAGAACAGGGAAGAGGTGGGACAGTGTCACAGACCTGCAGAACAGGGAAGAGGTGGGACAGTGTCACAGACCTGCAGAACAGGGAAGAGGTGGGACAGACAAACCCTGCAGAACAGGGAAGAGGTGGGACAGTGTCACAACCTGCAGAACAGGGAAGAGGTGGGACAGTGTCACAGACCTGCAGAACAGGGAAGAGGTGGGACAGACAAACCTGCAGAACAGGGAAGAGGTGGGACAGTGTCACAAACCTGCAGAACAGGGAAGAGGTGGGACAGTGTCACAGACCTGCAGAACAGGGAAGAGACAGGGCAGTTCAACAGACTCACCAGAACAGGGAAAGAGCGGGGCAGTTCACAGACCTGCAGAACAGGGAAGAGGCGGGGGCAGTGCCACAGATCTGCAAAACAGGGAAGAGTGTCACAGACCTGGGAGGCGGGCATGTCACAGACCTGCAGAACAGGGAAGAGGCGGGACAGTGTCACAGACCTGCAGAACAGGGAAGAGGCGGGACAGTGTCACAAACCTGCAGAACAGGGAAGAGGCGGGACAGTGTCACAAACCTGCAGAACAGGGAAGAGGTGGGACAGTGTCACAAACCTGCAGAACAGGGAAGAGGTGGGGCAGTGTCACAAACCTGCAGAACAGGGAAGAGGTGGGGCAGTGTCACAAACCTGCAGAACAGGGAAGAGGTGGGACAGTGTCACAGACCTGCAGAACAGGGAAGAGGTGGGACAGTGACAAACCTGCAGAACAGGGAAGAGGTGGGACAGACAAACCTGCAGAACAGGGAAGAGGTGGGACAGTGTCACAGACCTGCAGAACAGGGAAGAGGTGGGACAGTGTCACAGACCTGCAGAACAGGGAAGAGACGGGGCAGTTCAACAGACTCACCAGAAGAGGAAAGAGGCGGGGCAGTTCACAGACCTGCAGAACAGGGAAGAGGCGGGGCAGTGCCACAGATCTGCAAAACAGGGAAGAGGCAGGGCAATGTCACAGACCTGCAGAACAGGGAAGAGGCGGGACAGTGTCACAGACCTGCAGAACAGGGAAGAGGCGGGACAGTGTCACAAACCTGCCCAGAACAGGGGCGGGGACAGTGTCACAAACAGGGAGAGTGGGGACAGTGACAGACCTGCAGAACAGGGAAGAGGGACGGGGACAGTGTCACAAACCTGCAGAACAGGGAAGAGGTGGGGACAGTGTCACAAACCTGCAGAACAGGGAAGAGGTGGGACAGTGTCACAAACCTGCAGAACAGGGAAGAGGTGGGACAGTGTCACAAACCTGCAGAACAGGGAAGAGGTGGGACAGTGTCACAAACCTGCAGAACAGGGAAGAGGTGGGACAGTGTCACAGACCTGCAGAACAGGGAAGAGGTGGGACAGACAAACCTGCAGAACAGGGAAGAGGTGGGACAGACAAACCTGCAGAACAGGGAAGAGGTGGGACAGTGTCACAGACCTGCAGAACAGGGAAGAGGCAGGACAGACAAACCTGCAGAACAGGGAAGAGGCAGGACAGACAAACCTGCAGAACCAGGCTGCACTTGAAATGTTATCAACTTGCTTATTCCACGCAGCCATATATCCCAGCATTCAATCACCATAGCTTTAGAAATCTGTTGGCAAACAAGAAGAGTTCCTGTAAATGTGCATTTAGCTTTTTGGCCTGTATTTAGTGACTTTGGCAGCTTGTCCATGCTAAGCTGTATCCCTCAATAGTGTGTCACATTTTGCCGTCCATTTGCTGAGAACACCAATATTCTGAATTTCACAAAGCGTGTCTAATCCGGCTGCCTCGTGACCGCTGCATTCCCCGGGTTTCAGCACCGGTAAAGTAATATTTCACACCTCTCTACCGACACAACAAAAAGGTGATCCAAAACTGCCCGGGGTTTTCTAGCTTTATTGTTTGTTTTTTTTTTTGTATTTTTTTCTCTGTGCTCAATAAACATTATTTATTACCCTAATAAATCTTATTAAGAGAAATACCCTCACCACCTGCTCAACGCCGCATTTCAAAAAAATATATTTACAGCGCGATGGCCAGATGGTCGCTGTCTTCGAACATTTTCAGGTTGCCGAGCAGTTTACTTTTATTTGAAATCCCAAATGTAATAAGGCTGTAAGCACGCTGTAAGCTGTGTGCTTTAACCCCTGCGAGCGCTCTGATCAAAGCCCGTGGAAGACTGCCTTTTGAAAAGCAGAGACATTTGGCCTGTACTGCAGCGCTACATCGGTTCACCGTGTCTCTTTTTTTCTTTTTTTTCTTTTTTTTCAGGCCGCGGCTGCTTGTAATTTCAGTCACGCATTTAATGCGCAGTGAAGAACACAAAATATATTTCTTAGACTAATAGCATAAGCCATTAGACTTCGGAACGTTCGACGAGCACATGTACGCCGTGTCTGCCGCTGAGTGTCATCCGTCGGGGCGGGATCCGGCAAGCATCACTAAACCAAAGAGAATTCGCACATATGTACGATATCATTGCTCCGGCTACATGCAGGGTCCCCTATAGAGTTTTTTATTTTCTCCTCGCAGGAACTGAATTAATGGGACTGACTCCTCCACCCAGACGATTTTAATTATATATACGCAAGGCCGTGTTTCTATAGGCAAACATACCGCACATAGTTACAATGGACTAAGCATTAAAGCGTTTACCGTTTAATAAAAGGATAAGTATCTTTAGTTTAGCCATTTGACTTTTGTCTTCAAATCTCATTGGACCTAACTGAAAAGAACTGTCACTTTTTGGCAACTAAGTACAGTATACTTAACCACTTGCCAACCAAGTGACGGCTACAGCGCGGTTGTCCGGTCCTGGGAGGGCGTCATATGATGTCCTCCCTGAACGCGCCCTCCCGCACGTCACCGGGGGCGCGCACCTGGCGATCTCCGTGATCGCGGGTGTCCTACTGACACAGCTGATCACGTTATCTGGTAAAAGGCCAATCACAGCGGCCTTTTACCACGGGATCAGCCGATCACCGGTAAATGCAGTTGCCGGTTATTGGCTGCACTTTCCTTACACTGTCACAGTGTGAGGAAAGAACTGCCGATAAACCGGCAATTGTCAGAGGACGGATCGGCACCGATCATCAGGACACTAATGATCAGTGCCCTGATGACCAGTGCCCAGCAGTGCCACACACCTGTGACGCCCATAAGTACCCCAGCAGTGCCACACACCTGTTCCCAGCAGTGCCACTCACCAGTGCCCAGCAGTACCCTCCATCACTGCCACCCATAGTGCTGCCCAGTAGTGATACTCACCAGTGCCCAGCAGTGCTGCCAGTCAGTGCCCAGCAGTGCTGCCTATCAGTGCCCATCATTGTTGCATATCAGTGCTGCCTCATCAGTGCCAACTCATCCGTGCTGCCTATCAGTGCCCATCAGTGCCACCTATCAGTGCCATCAGTGCTGCTTATCAGTGCCCATCAGTGCCACCTATTAGTGCCCAGCAGTGCTACTTATCAGTGCCCATCAGTGCTGTCTATCAGTGCCCCCTATCAGTCCTGCCTATCAGTGCCACCTACCAGTGCCCATCAGTGCTGCTTATCAGTGCTCATCAGTGCCCATCAGTGCTGCTTATCAGTGCCCATCAGTGCTGTCTATAAGTGCAGCCTCATCAGCGCACATCAGTGAAGGAGAAAAATTACCTGTTTGCAAAATTTCATGATAGAAACAAAGAAAAGCTTTTTTTTTTTTTTAACATTTTGCTCTTTTTTTGTTTATATCGCAAAAAATAAAACACCCAACAGTGACTACATACCACGAAAAGAAAGTTCTATTTGTGTAAAAAAAAGTATAAAAAAAATGTCATATGGGTACAGTGTTGCATGACCGCGCAATTTTTATTCATAGTGTGACAGCGCTGAAAGCTGAAAATTGGCCTGGACAGGAAGGGGGTATAAGTGCCCGGCAGGCAAGGGGTTAAAGTGTTACTAAACCCACAACAGTACAATCAGTCTGTATATGCAGTAAAGCATGCTTGTTATACTCACTGTAGAACCTAAGGGGTTAATCCTCTGCATTGTGTAAAAAGGCTGTTTGATCCTGTCTTCTCTGCCCCTCCTCTTGTTGAAATGACCAACTGATACGGACTGAACCCGTGGTCACAGGTCCTGTCTTCTCTGATCCTCCCCTTCTTCTACTGTCCCCAATCCATCTGATGATAGTACAGAGCCCTAGGAGGCACTCTGCACATGCTCAGTTTGGTGTGTATTGCTAGACTGGATCTTTTTTTTCTTGGGAGGGTGCATGTGATCAGCACAAGGCCAATCAGCACTGTCCAGACAGAGGTCAGGGGTTTCACATCCTCCAAGAGCAGAAAGAAAACTCCTTCTACAAGCTTTAGCTAGTGCTCTGCTGAAGTCACAAGACTAACTTCTGATGGGAAAAGGTATATAGCAGTTTATTTACTAAACTAATTGCATTCCCATGTTCTGTGTACTGTGGGAGACCAGATATAGAAAATGTGAGGTCCTGGGAGAATGGATATAGTGAATGAAGGGTCCAGGGAGACCAGATATAGTGAATGCAGGGTCCGGAGAGACCAGATATAGTGAATACAGGGTCCGGGGAGACCAGATATAGTGAATGCAGGGTCCGGAGAGACCAGATATAGTGAATGCAGGGTCCTGGGAGACCAGATATAGTGAATGCAGGGTCCAGGAGACCAGATATAGTGAATGCAGGGTCCGGGGAGACCAGATATAGTAAATGCAGGGTCTGGGGAGACCTGATATAGTGAATGCAGGGTCCGGGGAGACCAGATATAGTGAATGTAGGGTCCTGGGAGACCAGATATAGTGATTGCAGGATCCGTTGAGAGCGGATATAGTGAATGCAGGGTCCGGGGAGACCAGATATAGTGAATGCAGGGTCTGAGGAGACCAGATATAGTGAATGCAGGGTCCGGGGAGACCAGATATAGTGAATGCAGGGTCTGGAGAGACCAGATATAATGAATACAGGGTCCGGGGAGACCAGATATAGTGAATGCAGGGTCCGGAGAGACCAGATATAATGAATACAGGGTCCGGGGAGACCAGATATAGTGAATGCAGGGTCTGGAGAGACCAGATATAGTGAATGCGGGGTCCGGGGAGACCAGATATAGTGAATGCAGGGTCTGGAGAGAATCACTGTGAGAGCTGTAATTGGTCACAGCTTACCACATGGTACAAGGCTGCTGTGAATGGCCTTGTACCATGTGACCTCTGTGATCATTCACAGAATCCACAAGTAGTAAACAATGATGTCAGAAGTGACATCTTCTTTACTACTGTTCATGTGATCACTCATTGGCCAATCACTGATCACATGAATCGGGACCTCACACATCGGTCCCATACAGCAATCTGTGTTCCACACAGCAGGCACAGATCGCAGTGCTGCGCGTTCCCAGAGAGCACGCACAGGCAATGGTCCCATCCAGTCATTTATTGGCATGGGCCAGATGGGAAGAGGTTAAAGTGGTTGTAAACCCTTACATATACCCAGTGACAGGGGCGGACTGGCAACTCATGCGGCCCCTGGGCAATAGGGGATCATGGGGCCCCTGTGTCCCTGCCCAAACTCAAAAAAGCCTATGAAAAAGGTACCAGGGGGATCTCATGGGGCCCTTGGGCAGTGCCCGAGTTTCCAAATGGTCAGTCCGCCCCTGCCCAGTGACGTGGCTGTCTGATAAACAGAGATGAAATAAATCCTCATATATAAGTATTCTCTTCTCTACATCTGTTCAAAATCCAGAATTTCATAAAGCTTGTCTGAGCTTTCAAAAATCAGTGGGAGGAAAGCTGAAATTAAACACTGCAAAGCTCAGTGAGGAGAGCTCTGAGAGCTGATTGGAAAGAAAAGTCACACCCCCCTTCACACAGCTCACAGGACCAGAGCTGAGGCTGTCAATCACAGGCTGTGTCCTGGAGCTCCCTCCCCTGTCACCTTTTTCCTTTGGTGTCAGATAAACTTGTCAGAAGTGATTTATGCTGAGGAATGAGGCAGCAGAGAGGAATGACAGTGCTCTGGATAGAGACAAGTACACACTATAGAGTGATAGGCTTTGTTCATATTTCATGTCTGAGATTTACAACCACTTTAAAGTGGACCAATCGTTATAATTATTTTTCATCTGAAGTGTATGCATACTAAATATGTTTTGCAGGATACAACATTCAAGTTTGAATACAAGAAAATGTATCCTATTTTTAGCCATTTGACCTTAGTGTTTATATCGTATTGGATTTAAAGCCACAATGTTCATTTTTACCTACAGACAGGTAATAAAGCTTACCTGTAGGAAAAATGAATATCTCCCAAACGTTCACTGTTTAGGAGATATTGTAGGTGTGACATCACTGGAGCATGCGTTCTGAAGGAATGGCATACCTGTGCGGTTCCTTCATCACTGTGTGCTGTGGCCCAGACTCCCGTGTGCATGTCTGGGAATATCAGTAGACAGCGCAGTCTCCAGCCAGGTTGATAGAAGGGGGGGACAGGGGAGTTCCTTGCCATCCTAGGCTATTAGGCTCTGTGTTTTTAGTGATACACAGTGTACGGAGATACAACTCTCATCTCTGAATGCAAGGATGGCTCCATGCAAGAGAAAGGACTTTCAATGCACCTTGCCCCTGCTTTCTCAGTTCTGCTTCCCTGAACTTCCAGCCCTCCTAGGAAAATGTTAAAAGTGGACAGTGCAGTCTTCAGCCAGGCTGTTAGAGGGGGAGGGAGCAGGGGGGTGCCTTGCCATCCTAAGGTATGGAGCTATGTGTTTCTATTGATCTACACAGTGTAGGGAGACTCTGCATGCAAGGGTGGCTCCATTGGACACTGCAGGAGAATGGAGCCACCCTGAAACAGGAAACCTGGGACAGTTGTCATGGCACCAGTTTAAACTAGAACACAGACAAGGATTAAAAGTGATTAAATCAACTGCTGAAAGTGTCTAAAAAAAGGAGACTTTAAAGTATTACTAAACCCAGGCCCCTGAATTCACTATATCTGGTCTCCCACAGTACATAGAACCACAGAACATGGAAATGCAAATATTTACTGCTAAATACCTTTTTTCATCAGCATTAACTAGCAGTCTTGTGACTTATATCAGTGTCTGGTTAAGCACTGTTAATCTTGTAGGAGTTTTCATTCTCCTCTGACTGTCCTGTGAGGCTACATGACCTTGACCCTCTGTCTGGACAGTGCTGATTGGCCCTGTGCCGATCACATGCACCCCCCCCCAAAAAAAAAAAAAACCTTCTCTAGCAATACACACCAAACTGAGCATGTGCAGAATGCCTCCTAGGGCTCTGTAATATCAGCAGATGGATTGAGGACTGTGTACAGTAGAGAACTCTGTCCATGGTGCTGATAGGAAAGCTTTCCACTAAAGCCCTACTATCCTTTCATTGTAGAATATCATTCAGATTTTAAAAAATTTGAAATAATATTCAGGTTGGTGAGTAATGGTACTAAAGAACGACTCTGAGAACCAATACTGAATCATCTCCAAATCAATAAGCCTTCAGTGAGGAGTCATGGTTGCTAAGAGGTAAATGACGACTGTACTAAGAACCAAGCAACCCTATGACTCTGCCTTGTTAGTGTAAGTGATCTGTGGAGCGCTCTTCATAGCATATCTAAATCCAGAACTAACATTGCAATATACCACAGCTTGTCAGTCCGTAGACGTGAGGACAGCATTTGTTTTTTGTTTTTTTAACGGTTTTTTTGCTTTGCAGCACTGAGTTCCCTGGTTTGAATCCCGACCAGAACATCACATGCATGGCGTTTGCATGTCCTCCTTGTACTTGTGTGGGTTTCCTCCGAGTACTCCAGTTTCCTCCGACACCCCAAAGACATGCTGTTAGGGTATTGGCTCAGTTAACCCCTTCACAGCCAGTGCCGTTTGTGCGTTTTTTGCAAACGTTAGAAAAAAATCATTTTAGGCCTGAAGATTAGTGAAAACCCCCAAACAATATATATGTTTTCTGAAAGCAACCACCCTTAAAATGAAAATAGTGGTAGTTCCAATTTTATATGTCGTGATATTTGCCCAACGTTTATCAAGCACAAAATGTCAGTAAAACAATGCATTTAAGTTAACTTTAGGGCACAGAAACACAAAATATTATATAGTTAGGTCCATATATATTTGGACACAGGTACAACTTTCATACTTTTGGATCTGTATGCCACCAGAATAAATTAAAATGAAACAATCCAAATGAATTGGAAGTGCAGACTTTCAGCTTTAATTCAAGGGGTTGAACATAAATATCAAGTACCAATTTTAGGAACTGCAACCATTTTTTATACACAGTCCCTCCATTTTCAGGGGCTCAAATGTAATTGGACAATCGAATATAATCATAAATAAAATGTTAATTTTTAATATTTTGTTGAGAATCCTTTGCTGGCAATGACTGCCTGAAGTCTGGAACCCATGGACATTACCAAGACTGGGTTTCCCCATTTCTGATGCTTTGCCAGGCTCTAACTGCAGCTGTCTTCAGTTGTTCTTTGTTTGTGGGTCTTTCTGTCTTTAGTTTTGCCTTCAGCAAGTGAAATACATGCTCAATTGGGCTGAGATCGGGTGATTGACTCGGCCATTGCAGAATATTCCACTTCTTCTTTTGCTTCAAAAGCTCCCGGGTTGCTTTTGCAGTGTGTTTTGGATCATTGTCCATCTGTACTGTGAAGCGCCGTCTAATCAACTTTGCTGCATTTGGCTGAATCTGGGCTGACAGTATATCTCTAAACAATGCAGAATTCATCTGGGTGCTTCTGTTTTCTGTCACATCATCAGTAAAGACAATGACCTAGTGCCACTGGAAGCCATGCATGCCCATGCCATCACACTGCCGCCACCATGTTTTACAGATGACGTTGTGTGCTTTGGATCATGAGCTGTTCCAAGCTTTCTCCACACTTTTCTTCCTGTCATTCTGGTATAGATTAATCTTAGTTTCATCCTTACAAAGAATGTTTTTCCAGAACTGGTCTGGCTTCTTTAGATGTTTTTTGGCAAAGTCTAATCTGGCTTTTCAATTCTTCAACTTATGAATGGTTTGCACCTTGTGGTGAACCCTGTTTGCTCTCGTGAAGTCTTCTCTTGATTGTAGACTTTGACAATGATACGCCCACTTCCTGGAGAGTGTCCTTCACTTGTCTGGATGTTGGGAATGGGTTTTTCTTTACCATATAGAGCAGCAGTTCTCAACCTGTGGGTCGCGACCCCTTTGGGGGTCGAAAGACCCTTTCACAGGGTTTGCCTAAGACCATCGGAAAACACATATTTCCGATGGTCTTAGTAACCTAGACACCGCTCCTCTATCCATCTCTTGGCAGATCCGCCCACATGCAGATATGCCCACATACAAGTACCCAGCGTGATGACATCATCACGCCAACCCCATCACATACACCCCATACAAATACAGGTGTATGTGACTGGGTTGGCGCCATAATGTACTTATGTGGACCAGTCTTCTTCCATTTCAACAACATATCTTTGTGAAACAGGGTTTTCCAGCTTGATGGTTATCAAGTCTAAATACAGAAGTAGACTTGTTGTGGAAGATGATCTTCGTTGTGCTCTTGCAAAGACTTCCCTGAGATTTTCCGATCTGGTGAGAAAGAAGCAATCTCAGCCTTCGCACTGATGTTGGCTTTTCCGCATACTGTCGCAAAATGTAGCAATGTAGTTTACTGTTGTTATATTAAGACTGTTACCCATGCTACACCATGCTTCAAGACAAAATTTCATTTATTTGTAGTTAGAAATAAATATTTCACAATATATAATTACATATTGTTTTTGTGATTAATCACTATGCTTTAATTATGTTCAATTTGTAACAATGAAAATACATCCTGCATATCAGATATTTACATTACGATTCATAATAGTAGCAAAATTACAGTTATGAAGTAGCAGTGAAAATAATTTTATAGTTGGGGGTCACCACAACATGAGGAACTGTATTAAAGGGTCACGGCATTAGGAAGGTTGGGAACCACTGATATAGAGGATCCTGCGATCATCCACCACTGTTGTCTCTAGAGATGAGCGAATTATTCAAAAATTCGATTCGGCTGATTCGGCGAATTCGTGGAATAAATTCGATTCGAGTCGAATATATTCGCTGCGAATTTAACTTATAAAAAGGGTGTTTCTAGGCTTCAGAGAGCCTTTATATTAGTGCAGAACACTGTACCTTTAATTTAAATGCCCTTGGAGTCTGCTGGGAGAAATAATACTGTCAGTCAGTATGACATGCAGATGAGTGCCGTCGATCTTAGAATCCACCGCACACTTCACTCATTTGGGCAGTCACGGGGCCAAAGCCAGAGTGTGGAGCCACAGTGTGGCGGTGGAGGCAGCAGCAATGGGAGGCCATACAGCACCCTATGAAAAAATGGAAACCACCAGCAGTGTGAGGAGACCTGAAAGTGGCACATGCAGAGTGTGGCGATGGAGACAGCAGCAATGGGAGGCCGTACAGGGACCCATGACACACTCTGGACCTGGCAGCAGCATGAGGAGAGCGGTACAGGGGCCCATGACAGATTACGGGCCTGGCAGCAGCCATGAGGAGTCGGTACGGGGGCCCATGGCAGATTACGGGCCTGGCAGCAGCAATGGGAGGCCGTACAGGGACGCATGACACACTCTGGACCTGGCAGCAGCATGAGGAGGCGGTACAGGGGCCCATGACAGATTACGGGCCTGGCAGCAGCATGAGGAGTCGGTACGGGGGGCCCATGGCAGATTACGGGCCTGGCAGCAGCAATGGGGAGGCCATACAGCAACCCTATGACAAAATGGAACCCACCAGCAGTGTGAGGAGACCTGAAAGTGGCACATGGCAGAGTGTGGCGATGGAGACAGCAGCAATGGGAGGCCGTACAGGGACCCATGACACACTCTGGACCTGGCAGCAGCATGAGGAGGCGGTACAGGGGCCCATGACAGATTACGGGCCTGGCAGCAGCATGAGGAGTCGGTACGGGGGCCCATGGCAGATTACGGGCCTGGCAGCAGCAATGGGAGGCCCGTAATCTGCCAGCACCCTATGACAAAATGGAACCCACCAGCAGTGTGAGGAGACCTGAAAGTGGCACATGGCAGAGTGTGGCGATAGAGACAGCAGCAATGGGAGGCCGTACAGGGACCCATGACACACTCTGGACCTGGCAGCAGCATGAGGAGGCGGTACAGGGGCCCATGACAGATTACGGGCCTGGCAGCAGCATGAGGAGTCGGTACGGGGGCCCATGGCAGATTACGGGCCTGGCAGCAGCAATGGGAGGCCCGTACAGGGGACCCATGACACACTCTGGACCTGGCAGCAGCATGAGGAGGCGGTACAGGGGCCCATGACAGATTACGGGCCTGGCAGCAGCATGAGGAGTCGGTACGGGGCCCATGACAGATTACGGGCCAAGGCAGCAGCAATGGGAGGCCATTACAGGGACCCATGACACACTCTGGACCTGGCAGCAGCAAGAGGAGGCGGTAGAGGGGCCCATGGCAGAGTGGCGAAGCGTAAGCAGCTTAAATTGAAGGCCATACAGAGGCCTATGTTAAAAATAATAACATGTTTGGGGCATGATTCATGGCGGATTTAGTCAGTTGTGTCAGGAACTGGTGGTTTGAAATCCAGACTAATCCACGCCTGATTCATTTTCACAAACGTGAGTCTCTCCACACTTTGGGTGGACAGTCGTGTCCTCGCGGAGTTACAATACCTCCTGCCGCACTAAACACACGCGCTCCGATGCCACGCTACTGGCCGGGCATGACAGCCTTTCAAGGGCAAATTCAGCTAGTTGGGGCCAAAGGTCAAGTTTCGTTGCCCAGTAGTCAAGGGGATTGTCTACCTCGGTTGGCAGGGTGCTGTCCAAGTAGGCCCAAGCCTGTTGTTTGAGGTCCTGCTCCAGGTCCACCTGATGCTGCTGCTGCTGCTGGCGGCTGTTAGTAGTTTCCTCACTGCGCTGGTGAAGAAAGCTACTCATCATCGACTGCAGACTGAGGCAGCCGCTGCTGGTGGAGCTGCCACTGCTCCTACCACCCCACCCCTCCCCTGCTGCCATGGCAGCGGAACGCGAGCGCACAGGGCCCACAGTGTCTGAGGATGGACGTTGGCGCAGAAAGGCAGAGACCAACTGACTACATAGGTGGTTTTTATAGTACGTTATTTTGGCCTCCCTCTCAGCAGGTGTGAAAAAGGCCACCATTTTTGAACGGTAGCGAGGGTCCAACAAGGTGGACAGCCAAAAGTCATCCCTCTGTCTGATGGTTATTATTCGGCTGTCGCTACGCACGCAAGCAACCGAGCATGCTATGGGCCATTTGTGCCAAGGAATGCGAGGGACTCCCTGCCTCCATCTCCACAGCATACTGCCACGGTGCGTCTGGGTCCTCTGTCTCCTCCTCCTCTACCAGATGCTCCTGCTCCTCCACTCCTGTCCGCTGAGTGGAAAAACCACCCATTTCACTCAATAATTCCTGAGCACCAATGTCCTCCTCTACCTCCTCCTCTTCTTCCTGTCCTGCCCCCACAGGGGTCATGTGGCGTTGAGATCTGTGCGCCACGTCTACCGCACCCTGACCAGCCATTGTTAACAGCATTTGTTCCAGGACGTGCAACAGAGGAATGACGTCGTTCATCCCATAGTCCTGCCGACTCACGAATAGCGTGGCCTCCTCAAAGGGCCTGAGCAAGCGGCAGGTGTCACGCATGAGCTGCCAATGGCTGACATCACTAAGTTACACAGGGGAGTACCTTTATCCGCTTGTAACATCAGGAAATCGGTGATGGCCTTTCGCTGTTCGTAAAGGCGGTCTAACATATGTAGGGTTGAATTCCACCTTGTTGCAACGTCGCAGATCAGGCGATGCTGTGGAATTCCGTTTCTGCCGCTGCAGCTCAAGGAGGGTGTGCTTTGCGGTGTAGGAATGGCTGAAATGCATGCAAAGTTTACGTGACATTTTAAGGATGTCTTGCAGTGGGATGGTGGATTTTAGGAACCGCTTGACAACCAGATTGAACACGTGAGCCATGCATGGCGCATGGCACAACCTTCCTTGACGCAGAGCAGACACCATGTTCTTTCCGTTGTCGGTCAACATGGTTCCGATTTTCAGTTTGCGCGGAGACAGCCATCTGTCGATTTCTCTGTTCATTACACTCAGAAGTTCCTCCCCTGTGTGACTACGTTCGCCAAGGCATACCAGGTGCAGCACAGCGTGACACCGTTGCGCCCTGCACATGTGATATGCCGGTCGGGTAATGGACTTGGCACGGGGTGGGGTGGCGGCTGAGGACACGGCGGAAGAAGAGGTGGTAGAGGCGGACATCTTTGCTGGACCAAGGACGTGCAAACGTGGAGGCAAAAGCGGCGTGACCTGTCCAAGTTGCTGGTGCGGCTGTGCCGGCACCACGTTCACCCAGAGGGGCCGTAAAATGACATGTACTGTCCCTGACCGTAGTTACAGCTCCACACGTCGGCGCTGCCGTGCACTTTGGCAGAGACCGACATGCTCAAAGACTGGCCCACCATCTCTTCTACATGTGAATGCAGGGCTGGCACTGCCTTTTTGGCGAAGAAATGCCGGCTTGGCACTTGGCACTCTCCACCGCGGCTCGGCACAAGCCATCATTTCTCGGAAAAGGTGCTGAGTCCACCACTTGGAAAGGGAGGGAGGGACTGCAGCACCAGCAACTTGGACAGGAGGACGTTCAGCTTCTGCACCGTCGGGTGCGTGCTCGCAAACTGTTGTCTCTTGGAAACGGATTCCAAGAAAGACTGCTGACGGAATCCGTGAAGAGGAGTAGCAGGAGAAGGAGCATCTGAACGAGCGGAAGATGCCAACGAGCGACAACTCCCCTCAGCAGAGGTGTTGGAGCCTTGACTGGCTGATAGAGGGCGATTGACGTCGGGTGACGGAGCAAGTAACGGAGCGGCGGGTGATGGAGCGGGGGCTGGGGCAGGCAGAACCGCCGCCGTATCTTTTATCACGGTTTTCCCAGGCCACCGAATGGCGACGCTGCATATGCTGACGCAACGCTGTAGTCCCAACATGGGCCCCCTGGCCACGCTTGACTTTCTGGCCACATAGTCGACATACGGCTACGTTTACTTCCTCTCGGGCGGCTTGACGAAAAATTGCCACACCGCCGAGTAGGAAACTTTGCCCCCGCTACTCCTCACTGGCTGACTGCTACTTCCTCCGTGCACACCGGCACCACTACTGGCCGTGGTGGTAGGCTGCAGTGGAGCTGGTGCTCTACTCCGTGGCCGTTTGCCTCCACTGACACTGCTGCGACCCTGCTGCCTCCTGGGCAACCCACCGACTGTTTTGCTCGCTGCCAAGCTGGCACCCTCTTCTCCTGATGATGCGGAAGCAATAGCCTGATGACGACGAGGCTGCCAAGTGCGATCAGCCTCATCATCATCAATTAGGGTCTCCGCCTCACTACTAGCCCCCTCGGCTGCGTGTGGGTCAGGAGACAGACCTGTCTCTAGACCGGCTACCGAGCCACTCTCCTCGCCAGTACTTCTTCGCCTGGCTGCTGAAGAGGCGGATGTCTCCCCCCGTTCCTGACCGCCCTCTGTTAGCTCTTCCTCACTGTACAGTGGGGCTGAGCCCACAGCATGCGATACTTCGCTTGGTGAGGGAACACCAAAGGACAGGGGCAGGTAGAGGACACGTGATTTCAGTGGGCTTGCTCCCGGGGCCATGCCAACTAACGGTTGTGTCTGACGTACCCACCGACCGTTGGCTGTAGGTGTCAGAGGTGACCTGGGAAGAGGAAGACGACCGAGCCAACCAATCGATGACGGCAGGGTTGTCGGTGGAGACACGACCGCTGGATGACACCAGGGAGCACTGGCCTCTGGCTGCGACTAGTGCTGCCTCGACCCCTTCCTCTGCTGCCACGTCTGCTCGCTCCTGAAACATTGCCTCCTCTGCCACTCCTCTGCGTGTTGTCTGACATACTCTTTAATTCAACGATTCTGTGTCCCTGAGTAACGATTCTGTGTCCCTGAGTAACAATTCTGTGTCCCTGAGTAACGATTCTGTGTCCCTGAGTAACGATTCTGTGTCCCTGAGTAACGATTCTGTGTCCCTGAGTAACAATTCTGTGTCCCTGAGTAACGATTCTGTGTCCCTGAGTAACGATTCTGTGTCCCTGAGTAACGATTCTGTGTCCCTGAGTAACAATTCTGTGTCCCTGAGTAACAATTCTGTGTCCCTGAGTAACGATTCTGTGTCCCTGAGTAACGATTCTGTGTCCCTGAGTAACAATTCTGTGTCCCTGAGTAACAATTCTGTGTCCCTGAGTAACGATTCTGTGTCCCTCAGTAACGATTCTGTGTCCCTCAGTAACGATTCTGTGTCCCTGAGTAACAATTCTGTGTCCCTGAGTAACAATTCTCTGTGTCCCTGAGTAACAATTCTGTGTCCCTGAGTAACAATTCTGTGTCCCTGAGTAACAATTTCTGTGTCCCTGAGTAACGATTTCTGTGTCCCTGAGTAACAATTCTGTGTCCCTCAGTAACGATTCTGTGTCCCTGAGTAACGATTCTGTGTCCCCTGAGTAACAATTCTGTGTCCCTCAGTAACAATTCTGTGTCCCTGAGTAACAATTCTGTGTGTCCCTGAGTAACACAATTCTGTGTCCCTGAGTAACGATTCTGTGTCCCCTCAGTAACGATTCTGTGTCCCTGAGTAACAATTCTGTGTCCTCAGTAACAATTCTGTGTCCCTGAGTAACAAATTCTGTGTCCCTGAGTAACAATTCTGTGTCCCTGAGTAACAATTCTGTGTCCCTCAGTAACAATTCTGTGTCCCTGAGTAACAATTCTGTGTCCCTGAGTAACAATTCTGTGTCCTCTGAGTAACGATTCTGTGTCCCTGAGTAACAATTCTGTGTCCCTGAGTAACGATTCTGTGTCCCTGAGTAACAATTCTGTGTCTGTCCCTGAGTAACAATTCTGTGTGTCCCTGAGTAACGATTCTGTGTCCCTGAGTAACAATTCTGTGTCCCTCAGTAACGATTCTGTGTCCCTGAGTAACGATTCTGTGTCCCTGAGTAACAATTCTGTGTCCCTGAGTAACAATTCTGTGTCCCTCAGTAACGATTCCAGTAACGTTTCTGTGTCCCTGAGTAACGACTCCTGTGTCCCTGTATGTAATCGAATTCTCTGTGTACCCTGAGTATACAATTCCTGTGTC